CTTAAACTCTTGTGTAACAGGGTCTATAGGATACTCAATCAAATATGGATGATTACAACATTTGCGAAGTAGCATCATTATATTCTGCAGCTTCAGATTAACTTCAGATTCTACAGGGATATTCACTTCCACAACAGTTCTACCAAAACAAATAATGCATATATATGAGATACGCAAAAGATGACCACAGTTTAAAGAACACTTAATTCATTTTCAAATTCAAACCTTTCTCGGTCCACCTCTGGCTGTATTTGACTCATCAATTTTTCCAATTCATTAGGGAAATCATCTATTTTGCTGTAATTTATTGATTTTCTAGTTCGCCGTTTTGGTCGACCAGTAGGACTTAACTCAACTGTTTCTTTCTCACTGGATCCAAACATGTTTGCAATTGTACGGTTCACAATGGCTGTATAAAAGATCTCTTGTTTCTTTGAAAGTGGCGCATAAACAACTACTTCTCGTTTAGGAGGAACTTCAAGAGCAACATCAGACTTTAGTCTTCTCAACAAGAAAGGTGTTAAAATCTGGTGCAGCATATGCAATACGTTCTGTTCTCTTTCTTTAGCAATAATATCTTCAGCAGTTTCAGAAAGACTGGTGATGTCAAACCAAGACTCAAAGCTTTTCAAGTCATCAAATACATCTGGCAACAAAAAGTTTAGCAATGACCAAAGTTCTGATAAATTGTTTTGCAAGGGAGTACCAGTCAAAAGAAGTTTGTTATCAGCATTGAATCGTTTTAACTCCCTGATTAGACGGCACTTCATATTCTTAATCCTGTGTCCTTCATCTACTATTAAGTATTTCCAATAGCAATGCTGTAATGCATTTCTGTCTCTCATGGCTATTTCAAATGATGTAACCACCACAGGATGAATCTGCAGAGTCCCTTGCCGTTTGTGAATATTCCTTACCAATTTTTGACGTTCCTCCTGGGTTCCATGATATAACATAGTAGGGATATCTGGTGTAAATCTTTTGAACTCAGCCATCCAGTTAGGAAGTGTAGATAATGGGCCACAGACAAGAAAAGGTCCTGGTACTCCTCTCTGAATCATCAATGCAATTGTAGCAATGCACTGAACTGTCTTTCCCAATCCCATTTCATCTGCTAAAATGCCATTAATTCCATTTTCCCAAAGCATCCTAAGCCATTCCATGCCTTCTACTTGGTACCATCGCATAACTCCTCCTGTGAAGTGCTTTGGTTGTTGAAAAGGCACTGGCTGACCATTACATTTCCGGACTGGGTCAAAAAAGAATTTCGCATTCTGCCTAACCGTTTGAGACAATCTATCTTTAATTATACTATTCGACTCTTTATTTTTCTGAAGATCCTCTACACAGAGATTAGTAGAAGAGGAGTTTTCATCCTCATTCTTTTTATTTTTTTTAACCACAGACAAAATTTCCTCTTTTGACATGACCTCTGAAATATTGTATGATTCATCTTCTCTTCCTCTTTTCTTTCTCATGACTGGCTTCTCTTCACTTGTGTCAATTGAATTTTTACCCTTTTTAACTTTTAAAGACTCCTTTTTTCTCTCCAATTTTTCTTTCTTCTTCTGTTCCTCCAATTGTTGCTGTTCCATTTTCGTCAATAAAAATTTGGAGTAGATATTGCTTTTTTCAAGCAAATGTTGAAGTCGACGGTACCGAATTTCTGTCGACTCTCTATCCCAAGACATGCGAGCCTTTTCCAGCATCTTCCGCTCTCTCTCTAGTCCAGCAGCTTCGAGCTGTTCTTCCTCTTCTAGCATGGCTGGGGTAATCACGGCAGTGTCTAATTGTTCAACCATTTCTGGAGTTTGTGAGCCGCCGCTGCCCACGGGCCGTTCCGCTGGCATGCCTGGACACTCACCCAGGAACCGGGTCCCCTCCTCTCAGAGTCTGCAATACCGCGAGCTAATAACTCACAGCAGTTCCCGGCCCAGCCTGCTCACCAAAACCCCCGCCAGGGAAAAAAGCCCAGAAAGAAATCTTATATAGCTATAGCACTACAAGAAAAGATAGAGATAGCCTAAGTGCACATAAAAGATGAGCTGAGAAATCTGAATTCAGAGCGAGTTACTTTAGCACTT